TCCTGAATAAAATCAAAATTCTATTACTAGAAAATAGAGAGATTGGGTGACAATTCACAGTCTGTCACATCCACTATGTTACATGTGATGGTTTTGTGGGGAATGTCATGCAGCCATTAAAAATAATGAATGAGATCTATGCCAACTGACTTGGGGTATGTGGCGGGGGAGGATTTCCACAAGGATTGCCGGGTGAGAAAAGCAAAATGTATAAAAGTGATAAAATATGATTTCATTTTTAATAACATAAAGTGGCAAAACTCTACATGTGTGTCTGCAAATGATGTGTAAGTATATGAGTATGAGAAATTGAAGGATACACAGTAGGTTGTTCATGTTTTTTCTGGGCAAGGGAAGAAGGGATGAATATCTTTGTGTTGTTCCATTGTTCCACTTGTTGTGATTGCCATTTTTGCGATTTGAAAAACATAAAAATGTTTTAGAACACTGAGAAGCCTCCAGATCCAACCTTCAAAACACTGTCTGCCATATATGAAAATTCATGGTAATCAAGTCCAGGATGGAGTCTATCACAAGAGATCCCAGTGAAGAACTTAGTAGGCCCTGAATTCAGTTTACCTAAGTTGTTTTAAATGACTTATTTAGGGAAATTATTTGCTTAGGACATGTGTTAGCTACACAATATTAGAAAGAACATTGTATTATTTTTGAACTAATGGATGTTAACCAATGTTTTAAAATATTTAAATATGAATGTAAAGCAGAACAATGTCACAAGAGATCTTTGTGAATTATCTGGAATACTAACATTTATGAAATTAAACAAAATAACCTTTATGAGTTGTATTTAATGTTTACCCATTTAATTCCATTTCGGCCATGAATCTTTCATGAAGAAGTCTTGTTTGGGAATTAGCCACACCTTGCAAGAATAAATCATTCTGTCAACTTGGCTTCATCAAAATTTCATGAAGAAAAAAACTTCAAAATCATGTACAACAAATCATATTATAAATTATATTTGATCCAGACATAATAAAGAATATGAAGGGCATGAAAAAATAAAGAAAAAAAAATTAATTCCCTACCTAGCTGAGTTGAATGTCTATTTGGCATGGAAAATGTCCAGGATAGTGACCTAAGAAAAAAGCTAGCAGATTATTGTTCCAGCAATAGAAGGCCAAAATTATTTTCAATGACTATTAAAACTCTTAACAATGATATCATAATAATTTTTAAAGAAAATTTCAGATTTTAATTTATATCTAAATAGTTCAACCATTAACGGCAATATTTGTCTTCTGCCTTGGTTGTGGCCACTTATTGGTTTTCTAATACTAGGTCATTGACCATCAGACCAAAAAGTATTCATTGGACTACCTACTGAAAATGTCCTATTGGATAAACAGTGATGCTTTACTGCAAACCTCAGGAACATTAATATGCATAATAATGATTTGGGAAGATTGTAATAAACATGACTTCCTTTCTGAATAGCATCCCTATCCCTCAATACATGTTCCAAGCCAGAAATGGTCATTTTAAACAAGCACAGCAGAAAAGGCTCAGAAAAAGAGCCTTTTTCTGTATGTCCCAGGATCATGTTTTGAGAAATACTGCTATAACAGAAAACTGTTTTAAACTTGGTAATCACCATTATTGACTGTCTTCATGTTTGTGAAATAAGGATCTGATATGCAAGCTGCACTGTCCTATATAGAAAATTTGAAAAATAATTATACTGTCATTTAGTAAATTAAAAAAAAAAAAACTAGAATAAGACTCCCTAGTCCTGCACCACATTTTTCTCACTAGTAAACCTTAAAAATCAAACCAGTTATTTTAACCCAGTTATTTTACCAAGGAAAAAAGATGGCTTCATTCAGGAATAGCAGACAATTGCGATACCAGACACGTGAGCTACAGCAAAACCATAGGCAAATCTGGGAAACAAAGAAGAGGTACTGGTCTTTTTATAGAGGTAATCAGAGGGTTAGAAAGACCGGGATAAACAAAAAGCCCATTGGTGTAAACTGAGAACTTTGTAGTGGCTTCTCCAGGGCTAAGTTGTGACTGTCTGTCATTGGCTGGGCTGTTGGTGGGGCATTGGATAACGAAAGCCTTTTATCCCCCTGCTGGGGTAGTAAAGTAGTATCCACCTACAAGGTCTGTCGCTTCCGATTGGGTCTGTTATTGAGTAAGAGTAGTGGGGTGTGAGAGCTCTCTCTGCCTAATTTTCCAACTCCATTACAGTGAGGTTTCCCTTTATTAATGATCACAAATAAAATACGACCAATGGGATGAAGTTGGTAGATAAACCTGTGAATCTTATGTTTTTTTTTTAATGTTTTAACTGTTGCCCATTCTCTGTTCTTTTTTTTCTAAAGATGTTATTTATTTATTCATGAGAGACACCCAAAGACAGAAGCAGAGACATAGGCAGAGGGAGAAGCAGGCTCTATGCAGGGAGCCCAAAATGGGACTCGATCCCCGGACTCCAGGGTCATGCCCTGGGCCAAAGGCAGGCGCTCAACCACTGAGTCACCCAGGCATCCCTCTCTGTTCCTTCTTATCTTAGGAATTAAATGAGGTAGAAAATCGAGATGACTGAATAGAAACCAAATGGTAGTGTGCTAGTAAGTTTAAGGGAAGAATGATATGCATGTATTAAAAAAATTATGCAAATTAGCAATACACTCAGGGTCAACTAAATTTATGTTGTTGAATTTACTTTGTTCTTTTTTTTTACTTTCTTCTTGACTACAAAAAATCGTAAAAAGTTATTTGTGTTCTCTGAAGCCAAATAGATGGTATTTTGTGATCCAAAAGATGTTGGGTTATGCATACATTATTAAGAAGCTTGCATTTTTACTTTCGGAATATGATATTCATTCTTGAGATATTATGTAGGATGGTGTATTGGATAAAAACAATTTTGTAAGTACATAAATATGTGCTAATAAATAATACCTCAATTAAAAAAACAAATGTTTTAACTGTTTTGCAAGGCTCAGATGGTATAATTTCTCCGTGGCGGGAGTATAGCTGGGGTGGGGAGTTGGCATGAAGGATTAAAAGAGTAACACTGGAAAGCAGTGAGCAATTATACTCAAGAATCATGAATCCTATCCCATAATAACACGTTAAAGCTTCCAGTTCCTACATTTATTTTCAGTCAGATAAAAGTGCCCATCTAAGTGTTGGTGTTGGGAATTAGAACACGGCAAACATTATAGAAGGTCTTAGTTCCAATTTCATAAACCTGGATCTTCAAAGACAACCCCAAATGCAAATAATACATCTCAATCACTTTGTAAATCACTGTTCTGTGTGTTGGTTCTTTCTTTCGAGCGTTTGCCAAAACTAGATCTGGGACAGATTCCAGGCCAGGGCAAATATGCAAAATTCTATTCTCCCCATTCTTTGATTATCATGCTGTGAATTGAGGCGGATGCTTGGCAATTACTTGCTGGAGAACAACGTTTTCTAAATAACTCTTCATTAGTTGAGTTGACCACGTAATTTGTAAACTTTTGGCCATCTTTTCCCCTTCCTATTACTACTGCAGTATGTGATCTTCACACCTCAGAGAGTGGAGACACAAAGTGTTCTTAGGGGATCCCTGGGTGGCACAGCGGTTTGGCGCCTGCCTTTGGCCCAGGGCGCGATCCTGGAGACCCCCGGATCGAATCCCAGGTCCGGCTCCCGGTGCATGGAGCCTGCTTCTCCCTCTGCCTGTGTCTCTGCCTCTGTGTGTGTGTGTGTGTGTGTGTGTGTGTGTGTGTGACTATCATAAATTAAAAAAAACAAAAAAATAAAAAAAATAAAATTAGTCTCACCCAGGGGCAGCCTGGATGGCTCAGCGGCTTAGTGCTACCTTCAGCCCAGGCCCTGATCCTGGAGACCCGGGATCGAGTCCCACGTCGGGCTCCATGCATGCAGCCTGCTTCTTCTTTACCCTCTGCCTGTGTCTCTCATGAACAAATAAATAATATATATATTTATATTTTAAATAGTCTAGTCCCACCAACCAGTTGGGAGACTGAGGAACTGGACCCAGCTCTTGTGAGTTGTTGCTCAAGATGAAACAGCTTGGGTTAGTGGCAGAAATAGGACTCAAGTTTAGGGATTCTGACCCTCAGAAAAAGCAGCTCTGGAGAGTGTTTTGAGAAACACCTTGGGGAAACCATTTAGAACGGTCCTAAGGGGCGGGGGAAATGGAAAATGATGTGACCTTCCGCCCAAACTTCGGCTCGCAGCCACAGTAGCTCCTCCGGAGGGCGGGTAGCAAGAACATTGCACTACAGGGACCCTAACCCCAGCGGCGGTTTCCAGGTTCAGTCCTATCGCTGCAGACCCACGTGCCCTTAGCAAACTGCCTTAACTTTAGGGGAGGGCAGTCGGACAAACCTGCCCAGAGTCGTCCAGCTACTCTGAGCCCTTTCCTTACCCCACTTGGGAATTACACACATCAAAGGGAATGGTAGGTGGTAAATTACTGAGAACGGTGGCGGCGGCACGTTAGGGTTCCGAGATCTCTCGCTGATTACCGTTCACTGCCAACCTTCGAGAGGCTGCCTGACGGCAGGCCCAGGGTCGCGCCAGGCGCAAGCACGGCTCCGAGGGCGCGCGCCGCAAAGCGCGGGCGCTGCGAGGGAAGCGCGCGCTCGTCTGACCGTGACGCAAGCAGGGGCGGGGCAGGCCCGGGAGATGCGGGCGTTTGCTTCCGGGGGCAAAGGCGCTTTACTTCCGGGAGGGGCGGCCGGTGCTGTAGGCGTCTCTTACCGCCGTAGGTCTCGGTCCTCGACAACCGGACATGAAGATCACGAGGCAGAAACATGCCAAGAAGCATCTCGGCTTCTTCCGCAATAATTTCGGAGTTCGCGAGCCGTACCAGATCCTGCTGGACGGTACCTTCTGTCAGGCGGCGCTGCGCGGCCGTATCCAGCTGCGGGAGCAGCTGCCCCGCTACCTCATGGGGGAGACACAGCTGTGCACCACCAGGTGGGCCCGGCGGGTCCGGGGAGGAGGCCCGGGCGGGGGTCCTGCGGGGGTCCTGCGGGTGTGGTGGAGGCGGGGGCACGCCGTGCTAAACGCCCCACCCACGAGGAGGTGACTGCGCAGGCCCTGAGGAGGCCAGGCGAGTGTCTGCAATGTCGGTAGAAAGCGCAGCGCCACAGGTAAGACCAGTGCCCCGCAGGGCGACCTGGCCTCGAGTCTAGGCCCTAGGCCCCAGCCCCACCCCCACCCGCGGGGTGTTTTCCGGCGAGTTCGTCTCTGGGCCTCGGAGTTCTCGTCTGTGAGGAGGAGACCGTGACTGAGGAGGTTGCTGTGAGGATCAAACGAGGTCGAGTGTGTGTAGAGCGCTTGCGGGCACCCGAAACCTACCCCGTGTCAGGGGTTGCTGTCATTTGTGCACCTTTTCCTGGCGTAAATGAAACAGATTTTCAAGCCTGCCCACTGCTCTGTGAGGTGACATCTTCGATTGCTAGGCAGAGAATTCAGAACTCGAGGTCAGAACCGTTGCCCGTGGTCATTTGTGTATTGAGCTGCCTCAGTGAGTACCAGCCGCAGGCCCGGCACCGCTCCGGTCACGCGGGATTACTCCAACCGGACACACACGTCCAGCCCTCGTGGCCAGCGAAGTGCCTAAGTCCGCCTCCGTGGGTGAGATTTGACCCCAGCCTGTCGTGACTTCCTCAGTGTGGGGACACGTTTAAAATGGAACTTCTTGGGGATGGGAGTGAGGATGGAATCACCGAGGGTTTCGTAGAAGACCTCACTTTCGAGCCCAGTCTCCTTGCGGTTCTGAGGCGAAGGACTATTTTTTTTTTTTTTTTTAAGATCTGTATTTATCCATGAGCGACACAGAGAGAGAGAGAGAGAGAGGCAGAGACACAGGCAGAGGGAGAAGCAGGCCCCATGCAGGGAGCCCGACGCGGGACCCGATCCCAGTTCTCCGGGATCATTCCCCGGGCTGAAGGCAGGCGCTAAACCGCTGCGCCACCCGGGCTTCCCCCGAAGGGCTATTTGAGTGACAGAAAAGAGGTAAGTGACTTGTGGAGACCTCCTGAGTAAAGAAATGGACTCCCGGATGCCTGGGTGGCGCAGCGGTTTAGCACCGCCTTCGGCCCGGGGCGTGATCGTGGAGACCCGGGATCCTATCCCGCATCGGGCTCCCTGCATGGGGCCTGCTTCTCCCTCTGCCTGTGTCTCGATCTCTCTCTCTCTCTCTCTCTGTGTCTCTCATGAATAAATGAATAAATCTTTTTATTTAAAAAGGAAAGAAATGGAGTCGTGAAATGCCTGGAAAAGAGGTTAGAGCACAGGATGTAATTGGAAACGAAGCTGTGGGAAGAAGGTAAATCGAATATACAATATGAACTGATAAGAAACTTAGGGGGTTCTCCCCCATTGGAGAGTATTTACTCAAAAAAAGTAAAAAAAATAAATAAATTAAAATGTCCCCAGTGAATTACTACCACTGTTAACATGCTGCAGCCATCCATCCCGTTCTTTATGTATACATATGCACACACACAGAGGAACGGACTCTTCCTGGGCATACAACATTATTGGCCTGCTTTTCTTTTTTAATTTATTTATTTATGATAGTCACAGAGAGAGAGAGAGGAAGAGACACAGGCAGAGGGAGAAGCAGGCTCCATGCACCGGGAGCCCGACGTGGGATTCGATCCCGGGTCTCCAGGATCGCGCCCTGGGCCAAAGGCAGGCGCCAAACCGCTGCGCCACCCACGGATCCCTGGCCTGCTTTTCTTGCATAATACTGAACAGCTTTCCATATTCTAGTAGCGCCTCAGATTGGTTATAGATACCCCACAATTTTTTTATCCCCTTAGCCCTCAGGGCTGCCAGACAGCTCCTTAGTTGGCCTGTGCCCGAGTCCATCGCTTCTGGCTACACAAAACCTGTCTGTTTACTCCTGTGTGCCTAGAAATATTAATGTTTTTAATGTAGTACTACAATAAAAAAGTTTGGGAAGTACGGCATGAAACAATATTCTATAGCATTTTTTTCCTTAAAAGATTCATTTTAACTTCAAGAATATTTTATACATACGCAAAAGTAGAGTAGTCCAATGAAATGTCTATCACCCAGCTTTTCGAATTATCGACACAGCCAATCTTGTTTCATTTATCCATCCTCCCACCTTACTAATAGTTCATTTTAAAGCATATTATTCTGTCAATTCTTGGTGTGCATTATGAAAAGATAATTGCTGTCAGACCTGATAGCTGTCTTTTAGAAAAGCTAATTACGGTGGTGCGGCAGCTAAGTTGGAGAAGCAAAAGCATGAAGACAGGCAAACTCCTTTTATGGTTGTCCAATCAAGATACAATGGGAGCCTGGACTTTAGAGAGGAAAGGCAGGAATGTCGGAGTTCTACAAAGAGACATAAGATAGGACTAACAGGTGGTGGGGTAGAGGTAGGGATGAGGAAGAAAAGGTCAATTAGGATTTCTGACTTACACCCAGGGTCTCAGAAATTAATAAATTCCAAGAGTTAGGGCAGCCTGGGTGGCTCAGCGGTTTAGCGCCGCCTCCAGCCCAGGGCTCGATCCTGGAGACCCAGGATCAAGTCTGCGTCCGGCTCCCTGCATGGAGCCTGCTTCTCTGCCTGTGTCTCTGCCTCTCTCTCTCTATCTCTCTTGAATAAATAAGTAATTTTTTTTTAATATGAAGATTTTATCTATTAAAAATAAATAAATTCAAAGAGATAGCATGCCCTGGAGAAGTTTGGAGGCAGGGAAGTACTTTAATTATAGACATGAATTTGAAGAGCTGACGTACATCCATAGGAAACATTCAATGAATACTTGGCAGTTTGGGCCTGAAACTCCAAAAAAGGGTTCAAAACTGATGACCAGAAAGCAGTCTCTTCTTAAAAACTAGAGAGATGCTAAAGGGAGTGAGTCAACGTAGAGTCTGGCAAGAGCTGGCTAGAGATTAATTTTTAACTAGGTAGTTCTCATAATTTTTTCTCCCTTCCACCAACTCACCCTCCCAGTTTCTTTCCTTCCTTTCTTTTCTTTCTTTCTTTCTTTGATGGAAGAAGTGCCTAGGGAGCTTATTAAAATGCTAATACGTGGCTCCCGGAGAGGTGCAGGTTTGGGGATGAGAAAGGAGTAGAAATTAATGCAATTATCACTTTCATTTTGATATGGTTAGTTTTTAGCTGACACTTTGAAAAACATTGGCTTATATTAATACAGAAATGCAGACTGAAAAAGCAAGTTGTGATATTAAAATGATGACTTGAAAATTTTACTCTTCTGTACTGAAAACAGTTTAAAGATGTACCAGTTTGTACCTGTAGAAGCATGTAGCACTAAGGTTGGGGCAAGGCATCTGTTGTCAACTACTTGGATTCACATTTCAGCTTTACCATTTATTAGTTGTGTTTGAGCATGTTACTTGAAATCTCTCAGACTGGGACGCCTTGAGAGTGGTTGAGTGTCTACCTTTGGCTCAAGGTGTGATCCTGGAGTTCTGGGATCGAGTCCTACATCAGGCTCCTTGCATGGAGCCTGCTTCTCCCTCTGCCTATGTCTCTGCTTCTCTCTGTTTCTGATGAATAAGATAATTTTCAAGTAAAGTGGCTAACTCAGGGCTGCTTTAAGATTAAAGAGCAGTTAGCATGCAGCCTGACACATAATAAATGCTCAGTAAACTTGAACTATTATTCCTTCTACTTAATGTTTGTGTTTTCCAGGTTTTTAAAAGAGTAAAATGGCTACCATATGATTGGGGCCAACACATGACAAATTGATTGTAATGATACAGTTTTAATTTCATAAAATTGAGTATTTTTTATACTTAGTTTATGTGAACAATTGATATATGTCTATTATATAATTGTGAGCTGCTAATAACTTTTTTTTTTTCCCCAGATGTGTGTTAAAAGAGTTAGAAACGTTGGGAAAGGACTTATATGGGGCAAAACTGATTGCACAAAAATGCCAAGTCCGAAATTGTCCCCATTTCAAGAATGCAGTGAGTGGATCAGAATGTCTGCTCTCCATGATTGAAGAGGGAAATCCTCATCATTATTTTGTGGCAACACAGGTGATAATGCTTTTGAAACCAGATTCCATTTTAATCATTTGTATTTATATTTCATGTGGAGCTACTTATAATCAGAAAAAATTAGGTGGAAGTGCTTGGTTAAAATGTTTCAACTTTTTAAAATGAAGCCTTTTAAGTTAATTTACAGTCAATAAAAGCAGTTGTCAGTGCACCTGGGTAGCTCAGTTAGTTAAGCATCTGCCTTCGGCTCCAGTCATGATCCCAGGGTCCTGGAGTTGACTCCCACGTTGGGCTTCCTGCTCTGCAGAGAGCCTGCTTCTCCCTCTCCCTGCCACTCCCTCTGCTTGTGTGCTCTCTCTCTGTCAAATAAATAAAATCTTAGAAAAAAAAAAAGCAGTTATCATTGGAGAATTTGAGAAGAGAACCTTAAGCATAATTGATTTTTCTTCTTTCTGAGGTTTTTTTTGTTTTGTTTTGTTTTGTTTTGTTTTTTAATACATTTATTGGGCAGCCCGGGTGGCTCAGCAGCTTAGGGCCACCTTCAGCCCAGGGCGTGATTCTAGAGACCTGGGATCGAGTCCCACGTCAGGCTCCTGCATGGAGCCTGCTTCTCCCTCTGCCTGTGTCTCTGCCTCTCTCTCTCGCTTTCTCTCTCTCTCATTAATAAATAAATAAATAAAATCTTTAAAAAAATAAAATAATAAAATAAATACAGTTATTGACAAAGGTATGATTGTATGTTTCAGGGTTCTTGAAGGGAAAATATGTGGAGCAAAGATTTTACATTCTGTGTTCATCAGGTTTTTTTTCGTGTTCTTATAGTTTATATTTTTTCTCAAAAAGTCATGTTTCATATTACTTGAAATTGTGCTACCAATATAGAACTGTTTCTGACTTTTAAAGACTAGGAAGGGGAAAGAGAGACTCTCAGGATTGACGTTAACAAAGAAGTTCACATACATACAGATTTGTTTAAATATGCTTAGAATTATAAAATCATACAATTAGATGCAGAGCTGAATCTAGAATCTGAGTCAGCTAATTCTTTATTGCTATTCCTTCATCCTCTGTTAACATTCTTACCCCTTTTTGAAGCATGTCTTAGAGTAGAAACGTGGGGCATTGCCTAATACATTTACCTTTGGGTTAGTTTGTAATTTGTGGTGCTACATAATGATGTCTGGTTCACATTGTTGCCTCTTAACTGTGTTCAGATTTCATGGTTGTCTTCCTTTTTTTTAAATCATAATGTATATTCCCATTAGTGATACCGACATACTGCTTTGAAAAGTAAAACTTGTGGGCAGCCCTGGTGGCTTAGCAGTTTAGCACTGCCTTCATTCAGCCTGGGGTGTGATCCTGGAGATCGAGGATCGAGTCCCACATCAGGCTCCCTGCATGGAGCCTGCTTCTCCTTCTGCCTGTGTCTCTGACTCTCTCTCTCTCTCTCTCTTTCTCTCTGTGTCTCATGAATAAATAAATAAAATCTTTAAAAAAAGGTAAAGTAAAACTTGTGATCTCTTTTATTTTTACTATTTAAGGCATCTTATTTAATTGGCTCGTTTAATTAATATCTGAACTAAACAATTCTTTTTCCTTTTAATAGGATCAGAATTTGTCTATGAAAGTAAGGAAAAAGCCTGGAGTTCCTCTCATGTTTATTATTCAGAACACTATAGTCTTGGACAAACCTTCTCCCAAAACAGTTGCTTTTGTTAAAGCAGTAGAGTCAGGTCAGCTTGTCTCTGTGCATGAGAAACAAAGTATCAAGCAACTCAAAGAAGAACAGGGTTTAGTGAAAAACCCTGAACAGAGAAGAAGAAAGAAACACAAGAAAATAAGTGGCCCCAATCCTCTTAGCTGTTTGAAGAAAAAGAAGAAAGCACAGGATACAAAATCGTCTGCCTCTGAAAAGAAAAGAAAAAGAAAAAGAATTCGGAACAGATCTATCTCAAAAGTACTTTCTGAAAAGCAGAATGCAGAATGATAATTCTTTGAATACTTTTAAAGACACTCAAATGTGAAAAACAAATTTCTTTTTAAAACTGTGGAAGTATTTACAATAAAAGACTATTATTTTTATAAATAGATATTGACCCATAAGCCTTTGAGTAAAATTATTTGTATTAAAAAAAAAAACACTTTTTCAGTATAAAACTGTTGTCTCTTTGTCTCACCATATCCCTCTACCCCCTAACATTATATGCAAATAGTGTAAAAAAATACAAAAGACTTGTAACAAGAGGTTGTCCCTTTCACATTCACAGAAAGTCTTCATTCAATTCACACAGTGGTTGTAAAATTTATACTTCCAAATAATAAGAATATGCTGCTACCTTTTCGTCCATCTGTTATTTGACTTTCTACTATAAAGTGGAAATTTTGCTTTTATTACTCCTCCACATTTCTAATATATTAATACTTTAGCCTTTATAAATAAAGCATTTTCATTATTATGACTATAAACTTTTCCATGCTATGATTGAATTTATTTCCTGTACTACTTTGTTATTCTGAAAGTTTATAATGTCCTCATTTTCTTTAAGTCTCTGACTAGGTTTTGCCTTATTTTCCAATAACTCTGTAAAGGAACTTAGAATTTTCTATATGATAATGTGAGAGAATTCCTCACTCCAGGAGATACTTCTAGAGTCCTCTGTCCTCCAATGTAGGAAGGTTTTCTGCCAGCTATGTTGCTCAGCTGTCATCCAAGCACTTCTTGCCCTTATCCAGAAACTTACAGGCTTTTGTACTCTTTCTTGGTTTTCCCCTTTGCTGTAGTGAAGCACGGAGTGTGTAGGTAGTACATTTTTTGAGGCTCAACCAGTGTTTATCCTCATTTGTTGCACTAATAATCTAGCAAGATAATTATTTTTTTAAATTTATTTTATTTTTTAAAGATTTTTTTTAAAGATTTTATTTATTCATGAGAGACACAGAGAAAGAGAGGCAGAGACACAGGCAAAGGGAGAAGCAGGCTCCCTGTGGGGACCCCAATGTGGGATAAGCTCCCAGGACCCTGGGACCATGACCTGAGCAAAAGGCAGATGCTCAACCACTGAGCGACCCAGGTGCCCCAAGATAATTACTTTAAAAAAAATTTAAAGTAATATCTGCACCCAACATGATACTTGAACTCACAACCCTGAGATCAAGTGTTGCAAGCTCTACTAATCAGGCAGCCCTAACAAAATAGTTCTTTTTTCAAAAAAAAAAAAAAAATTATTTTTTTTTGACACAGAGCACAAGCAGGTGGAGCAGCAGAGGAAGAAGCAGACTCCCCACTTAGCAGGGAGCCAGATGGACATGAGGCTTGATCTCGACCCTGAGATCATGAGCCAAAAGCAGATGCTTACCACCTGAGCCATCCAGGTGCCCCCCTTTTTAAAAAAATATTTTTTTGACACACAGCACAAGAGGGGGAGCAGGAGAGGGAGAGGAAGACTCCCTGCTGAGCAGGGAGCCTGAAGATAATTCTTGATTGAGGATCATTTCACTCAGTTCCCCTAGAGAGTCTCCTAATTGTTTACAGGGTCCAAGGGGGAAAAAAGAAATTTTTTTTAAATTTTTTTACTTCCATTTGTCCACTAAGAAAGTAAATGTTAAATTCAATAGCAAAATTCAAAAATAATACTCTAAGATTGGTTATGAATGTAAATTAAAGGGTGTCTAAGGGGTCACCAGAATTTAATAGATTTTGGGACACCTAGGTGGCTCAGTGATTGAGCATCTACCTTTGGCTCAGATCATGATCCCGGGGTCCTGGGATTGAGTTCTGCATCAGTCTCCCTGCAGGGAGCCTTCTTCTCCCTCTGCCTATGTCTCTGCCTCTCTGCGTCTCATGAATAAATAAAGTCTTAAAAAAATAGAACTTAACAGGTTATGTAGTAAATACATTTGAATTTTTTAATAAAATGTCTGAATGGCTGATTCTATTAGGAATCTATTAGGAATAAAGTTGTCTTTTTCAGCCCTCTCCCCAATTGTTTTAATTATCCACCAGACCAAAATTACAATGTTTCTGTGCTGTACTATTGAAATATAAAGTTGGAAAAGTGGAATCTGATCTTTAACGCCTGACTTTGTACTGCCTATGACATCTTTGAATGGTGGTTCTGAATCAGTATCCCTAGGGTTTCATGATCAGGTATGAAGTACATCATGAATAAATTCTTTTTTTTTCATGAATAAATTCTTAATGACTAAAATTATGTTTCTTAAATTTGAGACCATTTACATTTTTCTACAGAAATATTCACAGTGGAATTCAGAGATGCTTTTTTGGGGTAGAAAGTGAAGTTTCAGCCTTAAGTACACCAGGAATAACATTCAGGTTGTATTACCTAGCAAGCTAGGTTAGTGCTTGATTGTCATTGCATAATTCTGTTTTAAACTCTTAACGAACATTTTTTAAAAAGAAGGAAAAGATACTGGGAAAAAGTGATTATAGCTCTATAGTTTCTGTGAGGAGAAAAAACTGTCAAGAGTGATGAGAGGATTACCAAATCAAATGTAGACAAAATGATAAAATGGATGAAATGTACATTGATGAGATTTTCAATATGCTAAAATGCATGGTTTGGGTATTTCTCTTTTTAACAAATTTTATTGTGATTTATAATAAGTACATATATATTTGGTTTTTGGCTCACAGCTCCCCAAACTGAGAATTTCCTAAGTGATGAGAACTTAAAGGTGCCTCATGTTGAAATGGTTTTGAGGGATATCTAAGGATGGCAGCTGGTTACCTTTGGAGCCAATCATGTGATTAGAGGGTTGGAATTTCTAGTCCCACCCCACCCCTAACCTGTGGGGAGAGGTAACAGGCAGAATGGTCACTGATTTAATCAATCATGGTTATGTAATGAAGCCTCTATAAAAACCCACTGGGACTGGGTTTGGAGAGCTTCCAGGTTAATAAACAAGCGGAGATTGGGGACGGTGACTCACTGGGAGAGGGTTTGGAAGCTCCTACCCTTTCCCCATATCTTGCCCTATGCGTCTCTTCCATCTGGCTGTTCTTGAGTTATATCCTTTTATAATGAACTTGTAATGTAATAAGTAAAATGTTTCTCTTGAGTTCTGTAAGCCACTCTAGCAAATTAATTTAATGGAGAAGAGTGTTGTGGGAACTCCTGCTTTATAGCCAGAAGTCAGAAGCACAGGCATAGGTCTGAAGTGTGTGTGGGGTGGGGTGGGAAGGTGGCAGTCTTAAAAGACTGAACCCTTAAGTTGTCAGCTCTAATACCATCTCTGGGTACATAATGTCAGAATTGAGTTGAATTGTAAGACACACTGTCTCTTGTATGTGTAAGGGCTAAACCCCCAATATACATTGAAATTGGGTCTAGGGAACAAAAATATATATTTATTCAGTGCTATCTGGTCACCTATTAATAGCATCTGAACTGGAGAGCTAGAAAAGTCAACTTATTTTTATAAAATAGTAATTTTTAAGTTAAGATATTAATACATTGTATTATAATATTTAATATTTTAAAACTAGTTATATAAATATTACATATTTATAAATTACTTTAAAAATATTTTGACTAAAGGATCTTGTATCTGTACAATTCTTTTGTGAATAGTACCCTCATAACACCACCCCAGAAATCCTTAGTGCTACTTGCTTTATTTTTCTCCATACGCCTTAAGGAAGGGGGCGTGGCACATGAGAGTGTACACATGTGATCAGAATCCAATTTGCAGTTTGGGAAAAAGAAAATGTTGAGAGCATCTGCTTTAGAGGGTAGCTACTAGCTTTGTTGGGGGATAAAAGTGAAGTACATGTGCTTTTGAACTCTGAAGTTTGCCAGACTGTTTGGTATGAATGCTTCAAAAAAGTATTTGTAGTTGACTTTCTGAGGATTCTGTAGTCCATACATTTTTGAAGCCCTACGGCCATTTCTCACTTCCACAAATATGTAAGTCAAAACTAGAAGTCATTTCAGAACAGCTGAGTTTCAAAAGTAAGATTTCCTGTTTTCTATTTATGTATAGAGTTAAGAGATAGTATTTTATGTCTCTGTACCTGGTAAAGCAAGTTGGCTGTGATTTAACAGGTTTAATTAATAGATTTTCATGGGTGGCTAGGTGAATAGTTTGTATTCTTTAAAATGTTTTTAAACATCTTAAGAGTTCTTAGCTTAAATGTAAATGAAAAAATACAATAAGTTGGTATAACTCTCTATTTTGAGGTCCAAAACTAATTAGGAATATAGGCAAAAGAAATGTCTGGACTGAACTTATTTTTTTAAGATTTTATTTATTCATGAGAGACAGAGAGAGAGAGAGGCAGAGACACAGGCAGTGGGAGAAGAAGGCTCCATGCAGGGAGCCCGATGTGGGACTCGATCCCGGGACTCCAGGATCACGCCCTGCGCCAAAGGCAGGCTCTAAACCACTGAGCCACCCAGGGATCCCCTGGACTGAACTTATGAGCATATAAGAAGTCATATGATCCTAGATTGGTGGCCTCTGAATATTTAATCATACATCCTTGTCAGTAAAAGAACTTTTGTCTATAACTATAAATGTATATTTATAAACTATATAGATTTTTTACTGTACAGTATGAAAATACACACAGAAAAAACCCAAATGTAAAGGATGGCGAAGATAAAATATACTATTTTAAGATCTTTGCCATTAGATGGCTTTGTAAAGCTGGTATTTCAAGTCATAAGTTTTATCAGTAATATTGGATATGAATCCACTTGAAGTACTTCTTACAATTACATTTTTTGGTAAGAGTTGACTATATCATTGACTTTCCTTTATGACAGTATACTAGGCAAACAAAGAGTGTACTAAGAGTAGGATGTATCAATACATATTTGTCAAATATGTGAAAATGAAGTCACATCTCTCAGAAAGAAGAGCTATAGCGATCTCATTCAGTTTCCACACCTAAATGAGTCCAGAGGCCCAGAGCCCTTCAATTTAAGGGGAAGCTGGGTTTTTTTCAGAAAAGATCCTGAAGCACTGCTATAAGTTTCCCTGAGGCCATTTTCTAAAGTGAATGTGCATTGGAAAATGGAAATACCTAGACTTTGCGAGGATTTTTGATACTGGTTCTCAATTGATAATAATGGTGAGGGACCCAAATGGTGCTGCTCCGACAATCAAAGTAGGGATTTATGGGGGTCAGGTGATTGAGTTACAGGCCAAGTTTGAATCACAATGGGCTCCGTAGGTCTGTGAGCTCACCCTGTGTTTTTCTCCAGTTCCAGAACGTAGAATTGGTAAAGGTACACTAGGCAATTGGTGTGTCCCATGTTAGCTCCCTAATTTATGGACTAAGGATCACTAGGATATGAAGAGTCAAGGGGAAGCTGTTAGCATTTCTCCTCCTTAGCAGGATAGTAAACCACGAGAATAGGATGTCGTTGGAGTGACTACAGGAATTACTACCATCATTAAACACTTGATT